AAGTGATTGACTGCATTGAAAGTTATTTTCTCAATTCGTTATATTTCTGATTTAATTGTTTGAAATCTCAATTATCAAATATTTCACAGCTTACCTTGGGTCTAACCCCTAAAAATCCACTACAGTTAAAAGCTCCACAAGCACACACTGTTTTTTCATTTCCAAGACATTCTAGGTTATAGTTGAACGTTAATTCAGAACCTGGTGAAATAGAAAGATATCCCATGAGAGAATTTATACAAGTTTAAAAGTTTACACAAACTATGAATAATTAAACGTTGTTTGATCCCAATGGTTGTGACAACTTTTCAATTTTCAGCATAATATTTAACTATATATCTTTCACATTAAATATAAATATATCTTGATAAGGCCTTTAATCATCAATTTCTTTGTGACTATTCAACACTTATCATTTACTAAAACTAACATGTTTTTAATTGATTATGAAAAACTTTGATAAAGGAATATAAAAGTTTCACTCCTGAATACGAAGTCCTGTCTTCATTAATTCACATGGTGCAGAAAAGTAGGACATAAAACTCCATTCCATTCATTTCATTTTTATTTCTAAATACAAAGTTAATATATGCAAATTTGGCTTCAGAAAAGTATTTATTGTGAAAATTGAATTACAATTTAAATTTACCTGCAGAGATATCATTGAGAGCAAACAAACCAACTCTAACATCACCGTTTACCATCCATTTCTGAGTCTCACAGTTCGGTTGACATGAATGATTCATAAATCGAGATAAATTCCCTTTTGGTCCTGCATCTATTACTCTATAAATACAAAATATTGAAGTTAAATCTAACTCAAAGCTGAGTTGAAGGTATTGGTACGAGATTTACTATGTCAAAATCTATATGCTAAAATATAAACGTATATACATTTTGCAGGGAAGTTTATTGTTTGAAGTTTGGAATTTCAAATGTATCTTCGTTTTAAGTGTTTGTGTAACTGGCTTCAGACTACGTTTTGTGCCAAGGAACCCATCTTCACAATGTCAAGCTATTACAGACTTCGTACTCGTTACCTTGACAACAATAGCCACCTTTCTTGTATCACGGAAGTTTGTTATCAGCGATTTGATTGGATTGTATGCTAGC